AGCCCTCCTCGTTCAGCACGAGAGCCGTCGTAAACGTCCGCATCATCGCGGCCAAGTCCTCAGCCAGGACACGCCGACGGGCCTCCCGATCAGCCTGGCGAACAGCCTTCACCTCCCCGGCGGAAACGGTGGGGGAACGGGCACCATGAAAATACCCCGGGTGCTGGTGGCAGGGAGGGACGACATAACCTTCCTCGACGGCGCCGACCGTCAGATCCACCACCCGAGGCTCCTCGGACCTCTGCCTCTTCGACACTCCTTGGGACACAGGGGATTGGCTCTCTTGAGGCGACGAGGACGAAGTTTGGCCCCCCTGCGTCGCGACCTCCTGACTGACCAGCTGACTCACCCTCGTCCTCGGGACCCCGGCACTCCTGGCAGCACGCAACTGCTTCACCCGCTCGTCGACAGTAGACATGTTCGCTGCAAAAACAAAGAAATAGGTTAGCGACGATCAAAAACCCCGACAACGAGGGAAAACGAAACATCCCTACCTAGATAATCTAGAGCGGCCGCCCCGGTCGCACAGCCGAGCAAAGTCTTAGTATTTATCAAACGCTTTTTAGTGCGTACGTTCCCCTGGGCATCGAGGATGTACCGACCGTCGGGCGTCACCAGCTTCGACGGGGGAAGTGACCGCACAAAGGCAATTATTTTCAGATAAGCGGCCATGTCCTTCTCCTCGAGGGTTCCCGCCCGGACGATATACCTATCCGTCCCTCGACTGAAATGCTCCGAGGTCCACAGCAGATGTATCTTGGGAAGCCACGCTCGGAACCACTGGCCATCTACCGTGCGCTCGCCCTCGTCAAAGAGAGTGTCCGAGCCGTGCTGCGTGATCGGTTTGACGAGGTAGAACCGACCCTTGAAGTCTTTGACAGAATCACTGTACGCTTTAAAAATTTTGGTCGATTGTTTGAAAGAGACCCATCCGTGACGACCTCGCACCGTCTGCCGCTGCAAATGAAAGATGCGAAAGAACAACGGCACCGTCGGCTCCACCGAGAGGTAGAAACACACCACCTCGAAAGCCCGGATGAAAGCCAGAGCGTTCGGGTGCAGCTGAGACGGGGCAAGACGCAGCCAGTCAAAAATCCCCAGATGGAAGGCAGAGAACGGCAACCGGAGCCGAGCTTCTTTAAAATAAAATTCATACATCGGGAACATCTTCCGCCCATAGCGCGAACAGATCCGATGGTGCGCTTTCGGGCGATACACCTGCCAGTGTTGCGTTTCTCCTAGCGGCGTGTCCTCGACCGTGGCATACACGTCGGACGGGTCGACCACAAAACAAGAAGGGATGGTAAGTGGCTCCTCGGCCGCCCACTCCTCGGGCAAGGAGACGCGCCCGTCGTCATACTCCGGGACCTCGGGTTCATCATCTTCAACCATTATCCCCGGCACCAGAGCCGACATCTACACCTGAAAGCAGAGGACCTCGGTGAATTCGATAGCCAGGATCAAATCCACCCTTCCACCGCAAGTCAAGTGAAAGGGCGACAAAGGCCGAGGGGCGGCGAGCAGACATTCGCTCCCCGCCTACCCTCCTCGGGGATCGAAGAACGACCCCTCAGCCCTTCGGGGCGGCCGTCGGAGAAGATACTTCTCCCCGGGGCAGTCATCAGAAAAAGCCCCCGTCCTCGGGGCATTCATCGGAGAAAAGCCCCCGTCCTCGGGGCATTCATCAGAAAAAGCCCCCGTCCTCGGGGCATTCATCGGAGAAAAGCCCCCGTCCTCGGGGCATTCATCAGAAAAAGCTCCTGTCCCCGGGGCATTCATCGGAACTAGCCTACCGTCCCCGGGACATTCATCGGAAAACTCGCCAGACGCGGCAGAACTCGCATCCCTCCTCGGGGCGCTCATCGCGCCCCGACCACACGTCCCAGTTAGACGACGAAAATAAAAGAGAGGGAGAAGAGGAACTCACTTGTAACGGCGGCGGACGGAAGAAAAAGCGAATGGCACGGCGTTGATCGGCGGCGAACGGCGGACGGGCAGAGACGATGAAAGATCAACAGGGAGAAAAGTAGCAGAATGAGCGGGGACCGCCATATTTATAACCCGGCGCGAGGCTCGAAGCGACCCTAGGCTCATTAATGACATAGGTTAGCCGCCCCTACGACCGCTCAACGCAAGACACGTGGAAGCAGCCTGACAGTCGCGTCTCTCCATCTGCCTCCTCCCCGTTCTACCGACGACCGGAGCCCTTCGCACGAGTCCCCCGCTCCAGACATGACGACCTTAAGTCCTCGCTCTTCCCCAGAGCTTCGACTTGGGGGGCTCCTGTTCCGGTGTGGGCCTCACCTCGGCAGGCCCAATACCAAATACGGCCCAACAGGCGAACTGAGCACACCTGGCACACGCCCCTTCGGACGAGCAGGACCGTCCGCCGGGCACAAGCCATCACGCCGCATCCCCTTCGTCGTCCGTCACACCAGACGAGCGAGACTACCCGGGCTCCCTCCGCGGGAGAATAACGTGCTCGGCGCACGTTCTCCACGTGCTCCCCTCCGCGGGGACACGTCATCGGCCAACCGCCCACCTCCGAAAGAGCAGGTCAAACCCACTTTCCGGAGATCTAGGAGCGGTTGAACTAGGGCGAAGACCACGTCCTGGTCTTCACTACGCCACGTAAGCCCTAGCAGTCATTAGGGTTGGGCCTGGTCGGCTGGCCCACCTCGAATGACCGTTGGCCCAGCGCTGGGGTCTCTCTATAAATACCCTCTTCTTCAAGAGGGTCAGGTAACTCTTCTTGCCCCCTTTTCTGTACTATTGCTTCCTCTCTGTCCAACTTCTTACTTGGGCGTCGGAGTGCTTTGCAGGTACACCCCCTCCTCGTTCTTACCTCGGCGAACAGATAACCGTCCGGCGAAGCGTGGCCAGTCCGTGATCCCTCCTGATCAGGTCAGATCAAAACTCTTGGCATTTCTCATTTCCAAACAAGCATAAGTCACACGGAAAGTACAATTAGGCATTGGTTGAATTGATTCAATTCCTCCCACAAGCTTCTCAGTTCAGTAATGTAATCTAAAATTTTCTTGTTACCTTGTTTCAAATTCGAGATTTCTTGGTGTAGCTGAGCAACTCTAATTCGATCACCTTTTGTGAATATATCTTTAAGATCATTCCACATATCCATTGCATTATCAGTAAACACCACACTTTAAGCAATTGATGGTGTGATTGGATTGATAATCCATGTATGCACCAAATTATTACACATTTGCCAAGTTGTATAATTCAAGTCTGTTTCATTAGGAACCTCAATCGATCCATTTACGAACTTGAATTTGTTCTTCATTGCCAAAGCTCTTCTCATCTTCACTGACCAAGCATGGTAATTGTCACATGATAGTGTTGGAGTTACACACACAATTGACGAATTTTTGGAAGCATACACATAGTAAGGATCAAGCTGATCTTGAACTTGATTTGACACTTGACCTAGAGCAATATTGTTGTTATTGTTATTTCTCGCCATGGAAATACAGCAGATTTTCCACACGAACAAACTAAATCTGAAATCTTTAAAATGAAATTATAACCATGGAAATGTAATCGAAGAAAGATGTTGATAATACAACGGAAGCAGAGCAGGACGAACCTACTCTGATACCTTCTAAGCAAACGAGTTAAGCATTTGAGAGAAACAAAAATCAAAGATTGAGGAAGAAGATGAAATAAAAAACTGATTCATTGATTGAATTAGAAAGTAGTTACAGAGGTACATTTATAGTTGCACCAACTATCAAAGTTAGTTATGCCATGTCATCTCATATAACTAACTCTCCAAAACTAAAATATACATGGTATGTGAAGTGAAAAAACTAACACACATGATCATGCAACCCAATGCATGATGAGAATAAATTTCTTGCACCATAAGAAACTTGCAATCATGACCACTCTTCTTCTATAACTTCTGTTAGCCTGCTTATGAGTATTCATGGTGAGGACATAAATTGACTTAGTTGCTCGACAAAGTAACTTAGATATAATCGAATAGTTGTTAAGTATAATAATCTGCCAATATTCAGCAGGGTCAGTAGCATGAAAATCATTGGTGATGGAAAACTTGTGTCTTGACCATATATAAAAAGTAGATGTAAGTTTTATAGTAAATAGACTAGAGTCATGTAGTAGCTCTAAGGAATACTATTTTCAACCTCAATGCCTAAAAAAATTCTGACATTGTCAAGGTTTTCTTATCTTAAATGCAGTATCCAACTGCTAATTATGACCGACTCTACATGCTCATTATTTTCTTCTATTTTTCAATGGCGTCTAGTCTTATTTCTCTTGAGTGGAGTCTCTTCACATTGCTCTGTCAAATTACAAGTAAAGTTATTTCCTCCAATTCAACTTCTAATAGTTTTTGTATAACACGATACCATTTTCGATCAAAATATCCAAGAGGATGAAAATTAACGCCACCAGGGCCATGCAATCAACTTGGTTTACAAGCATTAGTCTTTTGATTTTGCTTGCCAAGGAAGTTGGCACAGGAATGTGAATTTGAAAAAGGAAAATCTCATTATTAATATAAGTTTCTCACAAAACTAGATATTTGCAATCATATAAACTACATACATGCTCTTTAAGTTATGTAAACATCTTAAACAAGCTTTGTTGTGTTTGAGTCTGTTAATAAGAAACTTCAAATCCTAAAATATGGCAAAGGAGAAGTTCCATCAAAGCCTCTTGCCATGGAGAAGACAACATAATCATGAACTGTTGTTTCCTCATACTTTGGAGGATCATCTTCTGATACTAATTCCTTTATGGGACCATAAAGCTTCGTTGATGGTTGAAAACTTGTGCTAAAAAAGCTTGCAACTGATACTCTTGGACCAACATGGTTTGCCACTACTCTATGCTCAACACTCTTGAATTTATCATTTGTTATAAGCTGTTATAACAATGCAAACAAGATCATTAAAAATGTAAATTAGTTTTACACTAACGAACGGTGCATTAAAATTATTCTCGATGAAAGTTACCTGTAGAAGATCGCCAATGTTGATGACGAGAGCACCAGGTAGAGGTGATACATCAACCCAGTTATCGTCATGAAGAACTTGGAGGCCACCAATATGATCTTGTAGAAGCACAGTGATAAAGTCATTATCAGCATGTTTGGTTGTTCCCAAGGTTAATTCTGGTTGTGGACAGGAAGGATAGTAATGGCAAATAGCTGCAAGTCCCTCATTACATTTCAAATCATTTAAATAGTTTGGATTCAGTCCAAGTGCTTCTGATAATAACTCAAACAATACATTTCCTAGTTTCATAACTTGCTTTGAATATTCCAACAATATATCTCTGCAACCAAAGTCAGATAAATGTTTCAAAAAATGAGTTTCAAACACTTTTTGAATTGATGCCGATATCTGAATGATACTTATACAACACGTGTCAGACAATTTAGACAAATATTTCAAAACAAAAACTTCTGGCTAATGGTCCAATTAAAGATTATATCTAACATTTTATACCTGCATGCCAATGGCAAATCTTCTGGTTTAGGAGAATGAGGAGCCATGATACAGTAAAAGCTATCCCTCCAATTAGAAGCTGGTGAACTATAAAGATCAACGTTACTATTATAAACCAAAGGCTTGGTAGCATCACGTGAGTATAACTCTCTTTTCACTTCAGAATCTTGCTCAAAGAATCTAATAACTCCATTCTTCATCTCATCCAAAACACTAACTTGTATTCCATGATTAACAACTTGAAAGAAACCCCATGTCTCAGATGCTTCTCTAATTTTCTCAACAACTGTTTTTCTTTTTGTTGAATCTAGATGAATGTCAACAAGATCAACGGAAGGAATAACAAGTTTGGTGGTGCTACTTGAAGGTGAATCTTTATGAAATTTGTGATGGAAGATGCGAGGGATGTTTGTGATAGCAGCATCAACAAGTCCTTTAACACCATCTTTTGTTTCATCAAAAGCTTTGAGCTCACTTGCTCTATCATAGTCAGGCTTTGCCGTCACTGAAACTTCCCTGGTTTTAGAGATTTCCATTTTTTCTGTCAAATTTTTTGGAGGTAGTTTTTCAAGACTTGTCTTTATGTATATGCAACAAGTGGAAGTCTTGAAGAGACAAAATTGCATTAATAGGGCGGTGGCTAAAATGGGCCACCATAGTAGACACGGAGTATACAAGTTTGTGGAGGAAAACAAGTTTTGTGATGTAACATGTTTGACAAATTTGGCAAGGAAAACAAGTTTATAGAATCTTTTGGTTATGATCTTTGCAATGATAACTATCAATTTCGACCATACAAAAATCTTCATGTTGTTAAATTTGACTATAACAATTAACCAAAAATATTGATTTGTGGAGGGAAAAAAAACATTATCAATCAAAATGAATGACGTCAAAAAAAAGTTAATCAATATGTGGAACAAAATAAGCAAATCCATGCTAACAAGATGATAAAGTAACGAGAACACACCTTTAATTTGTTGATCCAGATTGATAAAACCGATCAACTTTAATGATAAATGTTGGAAAAACTCAAATGTTAAAGTTAACTGAATCAATTTTGATGAACAAGAATCAATCTTCTGATTGATTATGTCTCTTGTTCTTCACCCTTTATTTAAGTGAAACAACCACTCTTTGGTTGCAAGATGATTCTACACTACACAAAACATTGAAAGAAGGAAATAATACAATTGAAAGTGAGAAGATGAATTTAATGTTGTTGTGCAAAGTTGCACTTTAAGTGTTTGATAATGTGTGTTAATCACAACTGTGATTTCATAATCTATATAATGCTTTCTTACACTTGATACAAATGAAATAGAAATCCTCTCTATTTATAGATGAGATTACTTGCACTCCAAGTAATTAAAAAATAACTAACTTAACTAAAACTAAGCTAAGTCAGATTATTTTAACTTTGTCGACTCCTTCGATAAATACTTGCTTTGACAGGCTATATTTGACTTTCTGTCAAATATAGCACATACAGACTCTATTCGACACAAACTAATTTTGACACTCGTTGAATACAAACATATTATTTCGACTTCAACACAAAGAATTACAAATTTAACACACCACTTAATTCATCGTGTCTAAACTATCTACATTCATTATATCTGCACAACCTTCGTCATTATATCTGCCATCTGATTCTCTGATTTGCATACCCTAAGCTTAACTTTTCATTTGCTACCTACTTTCTCGGGTAATAGAACCTCATTTCGAGGTGTTTGCTTCTTCCTTGTGCTATTAGATTCTTTATTAGGTTGACAGTCGACATGTTGTTGATCTTCATGGTCATAGCTCCATTATTCTCCCCTGTAACTTCTTCGACTAGATTCATCATCAATGTTGCTTGACAAGCACATAGCGAAGCTGATATGTATTCTGCCTCACATGATGATAAAGCTACCATTGGTTTCTTTCTTGAACTCCATGCGATTGACGCATCACTTAACATGAACACATATCCTGCTATCGATTTTTTATCTTTGGTATCACCACACCAACTAGAGTCACTGTAGCCCACAAGCTTGCATGTTTTCCTTCATCGACTGAAGGAAACAAAATACCATAGTCAAGTGTTCCTTTGAGATACCTTAGTATCCTCTTGGTAGCTGCAAGATGAGATACATTTGACTTCTACATGAATCTACTGACCATGCCTACACAATAAACTAAACATGGCCTTGTGTGACAGAGGTATCAAAGTGATCCAATGACTCTTTTGTACTGCGTTGATCGACATCATCTTCAGTCGAATCTTTTATCAGCTATATTCTAGGCTCAATTGGAGTCGAAGTTGGGTTGCAATTTGCATCTTAAGTCTCTTGAGTATTTCGCCTGCATATCTTCTTTGGTTCATCATCAAGCCTCAAATAATCTTGTAGAATTCAATACCAATGACGTATGAGAGATTTCTCAAGTTTTACATTTCAAACTTCTTACTTAAGTCATGTTTGAAGTCTTCGATCTTCTTCTTACAAATGCATGTTATCAACAGGTCGTCGATATAGAGACATAGTATAAGTAGCTCACTTCTGCTTCTTCTGACATACATACCATGATCTTTCGAACACTTTGTCGCTACGCGAAAAATGACACAGAGTCGCCATCGGATTTTTTTATTCTAAGGAGGGAAAGGGAAATAATGATAAAACCTTTAGGAAAAGAGCATGGTCATAGCAACCAAGTTTTAGGGTTCGGGAGTCGGTTATGCGAGGGGAATGTATTAGCATCCCCTCGCATCCATCGTATTTGATGGGAACCTTCTAAGTTGTTTAGCTGGAATGGGTGCACAACAGAAGCATGATGGTCATACTAGATCTATGAGTATTAGATATATAACTAATTGACTCTAGTCATAATGGGAGATTGGTAGTGTAATACCTATAGGCCAATAGTTCTATATTGAACTTGGTACTTGTATTAAACTATCTATTATTAGTAATAACACATTTCTTTGTTATGTTTGTTTTTCCAAAATAATAAAGTCCCTAGAATAACTAGTCATTTTAATGAAACATTAAGTTTGACTTAATCATGAAATCCTATTAAACATAAGGGTGTTATTCTTAAAGTATATGTAGTCGATATATTTATTATGAAGTGAGATAACATCCAAGCATTGATACTATTATGTGGATAGACATATGATAACATCTCATAGATCATGGATAAAGAGTAATCAATTTTTCACATAATTATGAATATTATGAGTAATATCTATAATGGATCCAAAATGAAAATATTTCTTAAAACTTAAGTGTCATAAGTTATTTTCATGGTGATAGTGGTGTATACCATCCTTCGACACGAAACCACTATGGATCCTAAATATGGAGTTGAGTACTTTATTATCGATAAAACATTGACTGTAATAGGATAACCATAATGGTAGGTGATAGGCACTCAACAAATCATGTTGAGGGACATGAGTGACCTAGATAGAATTTTTCCATCCTTCATGACATGATAAATATCTAAGGGCCCAATATTGAACTAGACAAGAGTGACACGATCTGTGCCTTCTGTTCAATATAGATATATGAGAAAAAAGGTAATTATACACTTAAATATTATCAAAGAAAGGTTTTGTTAGATCACATGACACTTTCGTGAATTGGGTAGTAGTGATTTGTTACTAGATACAACTCACTGTTGATTATATTGAATGTGTAATTTGATATAACTACCAACGTCACAAGAACCTATAGGGTCACACATATAAACAAATTGAGGGGAGAAAATAAATAAGTGAAGCTTATTTTATTGCGCGATCTCGCAATGCACTAGTGTTAATAAGAGAAACATGATATATCGTAAGGAACAGTGTACTTAAATCTAATATAAAACATCGTAAGGTACAATGTACTCAAGTGTAATATGGAACACCGTAAGGTACAATGTACATAAGTGTAATATGAACACCGTAAGATTAGAGATATTTTGCTCATGTGAACTAAGTAGAGGCATTGTTATTTATTCAACGCTCGTGATTGTTCTCTGGATTCTGCATCGACATTTAATTTCCATAAGAGGTAAATATTCTATCACTGATCATGTAAATTTGTATGGATTAGCTAAGGGAAATTTTTGAATGGAAATCATGATCCAAAACGCAGCGAAAATTAAAACTTTTCCCTTTATTATTCCTTATGAATGAGTATGATCAGTGATAGAAACGATTACCTCTTGTGATGATAAAACCTTTGATGTTGAATTAAAGGAGTCATCACAAGCGTTGAATGATGAACAACGCCTTTACTCAGTCTACACGAATAGATTCCTTCAGTCTCAGGGCTAGCTGCTACTCTGTCTGTGTGTGTGTGTGTGTGTGTGTGTGTGTGTGTGTGTGTGTGTGTGTGTGTGTGTGTGAGAGAGAGAGAGAGAGAGAGAGAGAGAGAGAGAGAGAGAGAGAGAAGGAAAATACGGTTAAGGTTTCACAAACTGAATTTTCATCAAGAGTGAATGCTTTTACACAAGGGTTCTATTTATAGAACCACTTATGTGGGCAGCAAGCTAAAAAGTCCATTTAAGTACACGCGCACCATATCTTATCGTGTATCATATATCACTTAAGTGTGTGGTACCTTACCATATTCTGTAATCTACTTAAATGCACTGTACTTTACGGTGCTCTACATTTGCATAAGTGTACCATACCTTACAGTGTTCCTTATTGACTCTACCTCTTATTAATCTGTCCTTATGTGTGTGACCCTGTAGGTTTTCGCGACGTTGGCAATTATATTGAATAACGTATTTAACATAATAAATAGTGAGCGGTATCTAGCAACACATCACTGCTACCCAAGTCACAAAATTTCATGTGATCTGACAAAACCTTTTGTGATAATACTTGTGTGTAAAATTACCCTTTTACCCTTATGTCTATATTGAACATAAGGCATATACTGTATCATCCTCATCAAGTTCAATATTGGGCCCTTATACAATTATCCTGTTATACAGGATGGACAAATTTCATCTAAATTATCTTTATGGTCATCCAGTTAAATACAATGTTTGATCAGTAATAAAGTACTCGACTCTACATCTAAGGTGCATAGTGGTTTTAGGTTGAATGGTTGTATACACCACTATCACCATAAGAGTAACTTATAACACTTTGCATAATATTATATGTAGTACTCTCATAGCGGGTCAATATGATATAAATATTACTTCTAATATTCATACATATGTTAAGACGTGATAACTCGTTATTCATGATCCATGAGATGTGACCATCAGTCTATCTACATAATAGTCTTAATGCTTTAAGGTTATCACATTTTACAATAAAGCTCAACTACGGATACTTTAAGAATAGTGTCCTTATATTTAATGAGATCTCATGATTAAGTCACACTTAATATTTCATTAAACGTACTAGCTATTCTAGGAATTTTATTATTTTGAAAAAATAAATATAATAAAGAAATTCCTTTTATTATTAATAAATAATTTGATATAAGTACCAAAAGTATTGACCTCTAAGCCTTACACCAACAGTTTTTGTTTTCTT